GAAGAACAATAAGAACAATGTACCTCACTCCAGAAAAGATTCAGGGACATATAATTTATAAAAATGTATAAAAATATTTTAAATATTTTGTTTAGCAATTTTCTACTCCACACTGTTATATCAGGGTTCACTTTTATGTCTTCTTTTCACATTTCTCTCTGTAATTTGCTGAAAGTTATATGTCATTTTACTTTAATTTCAGAGTTGACTGAAGAAAACGAGGAGCATGAAGAACTGAATGAAGAGCAGGAGAAACATGTCAAAACTGGAGAAAAAACTTTGAGTCGCTCTCAAACCAAACAGAAAGATTTAAAGAAAAGAAGAGCCAAGAAATCTTTCACCTGCACTCAGTGTGGAAAGAGTTTGACAAACAAACAGAGTCTTGAGTTTCACATGAGGATCCACACTGGAGAGAAACCATACACTTGTGATCAGTGCGGGAAGAGTTTCAGACAATCATCACACCTTAAGGATCACATGAACATCCACACAAGAGAGAAACTGTATGAATGTGATCAATGTGGAAAAACATTTTCGAGGGCTTCATACCTGAAGAGTCACCTGAAAGTTCATACGAAGGAGAAACCACATTCATGTTCTTTGTGTGGAAAGAGTTTTTCACATCTGCCGAATTTAAAAGTTCATCAGAAAATGCATACTGGTGTGAGAGATTATATGTGCTTTGAGTGTGAGAAGACTTTTATTAGAGCTGATCAATTGAAACTGCACGAGAGGATCCACACTGGAGAGAAACCTTACAAGTGTTCACACTGCGACAAGAGATCCAGTCAGTCAGCAAGTCTGAAAAGACATGAGAGGATCCACACTGGAGAGAAACTGTATCACTGCACTGTATGCGGGAAGAGTTTCACTCATTCATCTAATCTATGCAGGCATAACAAAAAGATTCACAGTCAGTAGATCATCTTCAGATGCAGCACTTTCAGGACTGACGTTGCGTCCTCACCAAACGTGACACAATAATGTGTCAAGCAATAAAATCTCTTCTGTATAAATCTGTCCTAACAAAGAAACATCATCTTAAGTCTGCATGAATAAAGTTCATCTTCAAGACCAGAAGTTTCAACTGTAACATTTTTGTGGGCTTCAGCCTCTGAAGAATCACCTGAAAGTTCATACGAAGGAGAAACCGCATTCATGTTCTTTATGTGGAAAGAGTTTTTCACAACTGCAGAGTTTAAAAGTTCATCAGAAGATACACACTGCTCAAAGATGGAGTTCCTCCTCAAACAACAATATCCAAAAGTTTTATTCTTGTCATTTTACTTCATGATTTTAATGATCATTGTGTTTTATGAGTTTCATTCATCACTTGAAGTTTGTTTACCCTTTTTATGAAGGGAAGTAAGTTTTAAAAAAAAAAACATTTTTACGTTCTTATTCTGGAAGCTGAAGAAGTGTCTGTAACTTTTGAACTGACATTTATTTTGATCCTGTTCTTCATTGTTGTTTTTAAATCAAGTAGATATTCTTCCATTTATGATGTATTTAGAAAATCCAGATGCAAGATATACTGTAGCATTGCAACCGATCCTCCTTCTCAGTGGTGTAGTGGAGGGTATACGCAGGTATACGGCGTATACCCACTTCTTTATCAGTCGGCTTTAGGTATGCCCATTTCTTGGGTAATTTCATAATGATCTTTACTCCGTGAAGTCAAGCAGCAGAAGTTAAGTGACAATATGCAAATACTACTGGCCCATTTTGGGGTGAACTAAATATACAAGACTGTTTATAACACAGGGTGTTCATCCTTTGCTGGGTCGCTTTAAAAAAAAATTGGGGCATAAATTAAGAGTATACCCACTTCTCCAGACACCACTACACCACTGCTCCTTCTCCTAAGTAGGGATGGGTTCCAGAACCAGGTAGAATCTGCTCTGGGTACTGGAGAAATTAAGAAAATACACTTTATTTAATAAAATGACCATTTATTATTGTTACATAAACATTATCTTGTGAATGGTGTCTCTATATAATATGAAGACATTATTATGCGTCTTTGCTATTCACAGTGCAGAAGAGAGATCTCTTTACGTATGTGCGATTAATCTAATTTTATTTTCGATTTTTGAGTTGGGCTTCCAATGATAATGAAAAGAAGATATTTGAGGTAAAGTGATTATTGTGCTGCATTCCGTCTACCTTTCCTTCACAGAGCTTTTGTTCTTCTCTTAAAGTCCAAACATAACATCGTAGATCTCAGAGTGAATCAGACCGTGATAACGTGACCAGAACTGAATTACACATGATTTTGCTGATTTTACATTTGATTCAATCATTCATTTACCTGAATGCTGCTGTTGGACCTTACTGAAAAACGTAAAGCATTGTTTACTTCATTTGTATGTTTGTTTTATTGTATTGTTTTTATTTTGTTTGTACTTTTTTATTTGTTCTTATTGTATTATTGACTTAAAAGATTGTTTGATGACATTTTACTTGGTTAGCTTAGTATTATAGTTATTTTTTAAAGTGTTAAAACTATACACATAAGTCTTAAACACTAAAAGTGCCTTCACACTGGTGCATTTCTTTTGCTATGAATTATTTATTTTACATTGTCAGATCACAAAGTCATGTTAATTTTGTTCTTAATTTTTTAAAGAACTGATAAGAATACTGTAAAAGTATACTGTATAAGCAGCATTGTAAGAGTAGTAATACCATTAAAACCTTTTACCCATCCCTACTTGTAAGTCAATAAGGAGAGAGGTCCCTCTTATTAGTTTTCACTTTTACTTAGCTATTTTTTGTATTTGCTTTGAGTGATCATAGAGTAAATGTAACCTCTGTATTAAAACATGATTTTTACTTCTTACATTTTATCTGCAACTTTTATTGTCTGCTGATTGTATTTGCATCAGTAAAAAATAACTTTATAATTGTAGCTGTATCTGAAAGCCATTAGTATTAAGTTTGTTTTGTGGTATTCTGTTTTAAATTTCTCAAAGCTTTTAAGTGCCTAACAAACTTTTAAGTGCCAAAAAAAACAAATATATTTCACCCCACACATGACTGACTGTCCGTCTGCATCAGTAACTGGTTTACTCTTATGTTTGTTTGATATGTTGTTTCAGGGGCGTAGATTACGCGGGGGACGTCATGTAAATTCGTCCCCCACACTTTTTCGGGCAAGTGTGTTCGCATAGAGGCTTTCAAGAGCCGGTGTGAATAAATATAGATTTAAATTAAAAGAGACAGGATAGTCTGTGCATAATCTGATGTTTTATTCGGACGCAGAATAAAGCGAGATGAACATCACGGAGCGCTAAACACTCATGCAGTGTATGTTTCATTCATACTCGTAGCCGGAGGGCGCTCTCGCGCAGAAAGTATAAATAAATGCAGGCTTGGTGAGCAGAAGAGACTTCTTTATAAAACATTAAAAATCTTACTGTTCAAAAACTGTTGACTGGTAGGTTATATAGATTACAGAAATGTTATATTGTAATGTTTTATATATATATATATATATATTAGGGATGCTACCGATGCGATACTATTCACCCCTGTTACAATGCAGTGCGATCTGATTTCGATTCAACATAATGCGATTCGATGCAATACGATGCAATGGAGAAAATATGATCACTTTTAATGCCCCGAGGCCTGTTTCATAAAACAAGTTTACCAAATAAGCCAGGCTTATTTCAGTTAGTTTGTCTCATTGTCAAATGATTTGGTTCCATAAAGCAAATTTAAAGGTGCTGTATATAAGTTTTTGACTCTACTAAAGCATAAAAATACCATAAATATGTTTTCAGATATTTAAGAAACATGCTAAGTTAACATACTTGTTTATCTGAAAAACAATGCTACAGTCAGTTATTCTCCTTTGAAAATGTGCGTTCCGGGCCGGAATGTCGATCTCTGTTTTGGCTTGTGAAACCCGCCCACTGCCAGTTTACCCAATTGTATTTTGGCACCCCGGGTTGCCAGTTAGCGGAAAACACAGCGTATTTCATTTAATTCATCGTCAAGTTCGCTCGTTCCTGTTGGTGTCCTCAATCTGGCAACCTGCGTGTGTGTCAAGTCTGAGGAGGAGGGGCCGGGTGAAAAAAACCCTCTGCAATATTTTGAATTTGGACTGCAATACCTAGTTCAACCACTCGGTATCAATCCTACATACAGCACCTTTAACATGGGCCTAGATCAAGTTTAGTCACTGTGGCAACTTATGGTCTAAAGCAGGTTAACTGTCAGACTAAGTCAAGTCACCTTTATTTATATAGCGCTTTTAACAATACAGATTGTGTCAAAGCAACTGTACAGCATTAAATAGGAAAATAGTGTGTCAATAATGCAAAAAGGCAGTTCATCATTGAATTCAGTGATGTCATCTTCCAGCTCAGTTCAGTTTAAATAGTATATTTGCAATCAAGTCAACGATATCGCTGGAAATGAAGTGTCCCCAACTAAGCAAGCCAGAGGCGACAGCGGCAAGGAACCAAAACTCCATCGGTGACAGAATGGAGAAAAAACCTTGGCAGAAACCAGGCTCAGTCGGGGGGCCAGTTCTCCTCTGGCCAGACAAAACCAGCAGTTCAATTTCAGGCTAGCAAAGTCACATTGTGCAGAGGAATCATCTGGTTCCTGTGGTCTTGTCCCGGTGGTCGTCTGAGACAAGGTCTTTACAGGGGAATAACATCTGTATCTGGGGCTCATCTAGTTGTCCTGGTCTCCGCTGTCTTTCAGGGCTGTAAAGGTCCTTTCTAGGTGCTGATCCACCATCTGGTCTGAATATGTACTGGATCCAGGTGACTGCAGTGACCATCTGATCTGGATACAGACTGGATCTGGTGGCAACGGTGACCTCGGAATAAGAGAGAAACAGACTAATATTAGCGTAGATGCCATTCTTCTAACGATGTAGCAAGTACATCGGGTGTTATGAAAAAAGTTCCCGGTTCCGGTTGACCTAATTAATGCAGCCTAAAAATCCTTTAACGGATTTGAATATTAGAAGCGTATTAGTGTGTTATGTGTAAGCCAGGTTAAAGAGATGGGTCTTTAATCTAGATTTAAACTGCAAGAGTGTGTCTGCCTCCCGAACAATGTTAGGTAGGTTATTCCAGAGTTTGGGCGCTAAATAGGAAAAGGATCTGCCGCCCGCAGTTGATTTTGATATTCTAGGTATTATCAAATGGCCAGAGTTTTGAGAACGCAGCGGACGTGGAGGACTATAATGTAACAAGAGCTCGTTCAAATACTGAGGTGCTAAACCATTCAGGGCTTTATAAGTAATTAGCAAGATTTTAAAATCTATACGATGTTTAATAGGGAGCCAGTGCAGTGTTGACAGAACCGGGCTAATATGGTCATACTTCCTGGTTCTAGTAAGAACTCTAGCTGCTGCATTTTGGACCAGCTGGAGTTTGTTTATTAAGCGTGCAGAACAACCACCCAATAAAGCATTACAATAATCTAACCTTGAGGTCATAAACGCATGGATTAACATTTCTGCATTTGACATTGAGAGAATAGGTCGTAATTTAGATATATTTTTGAGATGGAAAAATGCAGTTTTACAAATGCTAGAAACGTGGCTTTCTAACGAAAGATTGCTATCAAATAGCACACCTAGGTTCCTAACTGATGACGAAGAATTGACAGAGCAGCCATCAAGTCTTAAAGAGTGTTCTAGGTTATTATATGCAGAGTTTTTAGGTCCTATAATTAACACCTCTGTTTTTTCAGAATTTAGCAGTAAGAAATTACTCATCATCCAGTTTTTTATATCGACTATGCATTCCGCTAGTTTTTCAAATTGGTATGTTTCGCCGGGCTGCGAAGAAATATAGAGCTGAGTATCATCAGCATAACAGTGAAAGCTAACACCGTGTTTCCTGATAATATCTCCCAAGGGTAACATGTAAAGCGTGAAGAGTAATGGCCCTAGTACTGAGCCTTGAGGTACTCCATACTGCACTTGTGATCGATATGATACCTCTTCATTCACTGCTACGAATTGATGGCGGTCAGATAAGTACGATTTGAACCATGCTAATGCACTTCCATTAATGCCAACAAAGTTTTCTAGTCTATGCAAAAGAATGTTGTGGTCAATAGTGTCAAACGCAGCGCTAAGATCCAATAGCACTAATAGAGAGATACAACCACAATCAGATGATAAGAGCAGGTCATTTGTAACTCTAATGAGAGCAGTCTCGGTACTATGATACGGTCTAAACT